GTCTGAATCAGGAGAGAAATATGCACAGATCAAGCAACGTTTACAAATCCACAACAGTTATAAACAAATGCATTGGTGGATTTTGACGTGAGAGGACAACAGGGGATGGGTTTTTTCACTGGCGGAAGCGTTATTATGGTATTTTGGCAATGATTTAAAATGAAAACGCTTTAATGATGGATTTGCTTCTTACAAACTTGCGGCTTTTCACTTTACAAGATGTTAACAGATGGACTGGAGTTGTGTGGATTACAGTTTACTGCGATGTCAATCAGCTCTCATTTTATCAACTCTCATTCTGATGGCACCCATCCATTGATGAGCAAGGGATGTAATGCTACATTTCTCCAAATCTGTTCTGATGAAGAAACAAACTCATCTACATCTTGGATGGCCTGAGGGTGAGTACATTTTCAGCAAGTTTTCATTTTTGGGTGAACTATTCACAAAAATAATAATCTCAGACTGGATTTCAAAGAGCATATGCATTGAAAATGTCTTTGAATTTAGCAATCAAGAAAAATTCAGTGGTCATTTTTTGGTTTATTTTACCTGTAAGTGAGACAGCATTGTGTTGCAACAGATAATGGTTTATTACTTTGTTTCCCCCATTGATTTTCCCACTGGAGAACTAGTCGTTATTTCTGCATTTCATGCATGATGTGAAATATCAGTTAATCTTTCGTGAAGACCTGATATTATTGACTCGGAGCTGTGCAGTTGTTTCGATACGAGGCAGCGCTTGCAGTCACACTTTGCTGAATTACAAGTTCAATTCCTGACATTATTGCGCCAGAGGATTATAACGAAGAGAACCTTGTTTGAGATTTTAGACTTACTAAAACAAATTATGTGATTGTAATAGGCTTTCACTTTCCCTGTGCTCTTCTGTTTGTTCAGAAATGCATTTCATTTGCAAATGCAGACATTCCCAGTCTGTTTGTTGGCCGCCTCCAAAGTCCTTTTAAAGAAATTCTTCAAAAATATAAATTCCGTCATTATTTACTCATTCTCGTGCATGAAGCCATGTGGAGAACAGCGTCTCCTCCTCCTCATACTTTCTCTGCCATATCTCATTATCGTGTCTGTGCCAATGCATAGAAATACAACCTTTGTGTTTTGTTTCTATACTAATCATTCATCTCACTATAGATCTTTTATAGCATGACGTGCAAGTCTAATCCTGTAGAGCCTCATATGAATCCTTATAATATGTTTGATATATTCTCTCACAATTCCACTGAATGGCTGAATAAAACAGGGTCGATTTGTAAGACAAGATCGATTCGCTCAGTGTTTGAGTGTGTGTGTTGAAAATGAGCATCATTGAACAGTAATAAGTCTACTGCAGTGACATAGGCATCATCAACTCTAAAGGTGGTTTAACAGTGTAAAGAAATAGTTCACCCAAAAAATTGTAATTCTGTCATTATTTGCTCACCCTCATGTCATTCCAATCCTGTGTGATCACAAAATTTCACAAATATACTGAGAGAACTAAGAATATCGTGAGAACCGGTGACATTTGATGTGTGATGTGACACGTCTAAAGGTGCTATTTTTGATTTGAGAGTAACAGTGAGCTTTGCTTCAGTCTGTTTATCTCACAAAGCTAGCGTATGGCTTCAGAAGACTGGTAGATATTGCACTCAAGTCATATGGATTGTTTTGAAGCATCCATTTCCATGCGCTTTCATTATACGGAAAATATTGCAAAACAGTATGTACCACAGACGAGAGAAAGTGCAACTACATGAGGGTAAATGCTCTACCGTTCAAAAGAAGTCTCTTCTGCCCATCAAGGCTGCATTTATTTGATCAAATATACAGTAAAAACAGAAATATTGTGAAATATTATTATAATTCAAAATAACTGTTTTTTTATTTGAATATGTTTTAAAATGTAATTCATTCCTGTGATGCAAAGCTGAATTGATATCTGCATTTACTCGTGTCACATCAAGTTTGTTTGTTTATTTATTTATTTCTTTTACAGCATTTAATTTTTTTCTAACCATATAAAATCTACTCCATACCATCCATTTTTTATGTCAAATACCTAAGCATAATCAGTACATTAATACAAATTCTCAAAACTTTTACCAGTAATTTTTAATCATTATATAACAGAAGTTCATGCAGAAAGCATTTATAATTTCTGAAGCATTTTTTATCGTTTTTTATGGCATTGAGTCTCTCCTTAAATTCTGTACCACCAATGTTTTTATTAAGAAATCATTTTAATATGCTGATTTGATGCTCAGGAAACATGTCTTATAATTATCAATGTTGAGAACAGTTGTGCTGCTTAATATTTTTGTAGAAAACCATGAGAAACCCTGATTTTATTTCAGGATTCTTGATGAAAGGAACGTTCAAAAGAAATATGAATCTTTTATAACATAAATGTCTTTAGTTTTAATCAATTTAATGTGTTCTTGCTGAATCGCAGTATTATTTAAAAACATTTTTGAATGGTATTGTAAATGATGACAGAACTTCAATTGTCAGCAGAAAGCACAAGAATGAGGTTAAATATATTTCCAAATACATTGTCTTAGTCATGTTTATTAAATATGCCTGGAACAGATTTATCTGGCTATAAAGGGCTCTATTTCCCGCTGATTTCAGCCAGGCTCTTTGATGGTGAATGTGTGAGCTAGTAAATCATTTCTCCACCACAGCAGCAGTTTGAGTGTGTTGTGTCCATAGCCGCAGAGCCGTGGTGAGTGAAGAGACAACAGCTGCACCATCTGCTGCGGCTTTAATGACTACCTGTGACAGAGAGAGAGAGACGCACATGACAGAGACGCACGCACAGATGGAGAGAGGGAAAAAAGAGCTAAACTGGACCTGAGAAAGGAGAAGAGGGACAAAGGAGATACAGAATGAATACGAGAGGAGAGGATTAGATAAACTCATCATATGAATGTGAGATGAAGCGGCTCAGAGGAATATTTATTTCTTGAAAATCAGCATAAAAATTTAACCCCGTTTAACTATCTAATGCACATGCATGGTTTTGTTGTGCATGATTCGTTGGTGCACATTATTCAGTATTTTTCCACTGACAGCCTTTTAAAAGCTGTATTTTTTTATTTTTATTTGAAAGCATCATAAATATCAAAGACATTGACTTAAAGTTTAGCTGATGTGCCTTTCTTAAATTTGTCAAAAAACTGAAATTAGATTTTGAATCCCAGATTATCAATGAGGTGTTATCTATGCAATATCTAATATAAATAATAAATGTTATTATTAGTATTATTATTAATAAATGTTAAATAATAAATATAAATCTATAAATAAATTATACTATTATTTAAAGTAGTACTACAGTATACTACCTCTAATAATAATAATAACAATAATAATAATAACTATTATTATTATTATTATTGGAGGCTAAACTTTTTTTTCTTGTCTTTATGCTGGATTTGATTTGACACTGGTCTTTTTTCTCTCTCATTAAAGAATTTAAAAGGACATATCAAGTCAATATTTCATGTCCATGTAATGAGCAGGGTAATGTACAGTCACACTGGCATTATCACAAACTAAACAGAGACACACAGACTGCGTGTGGCTCCCAGCCTAAAGCGCTGGTCTGCTGTTTGTTCACAGACACAGAACAGACGTCACAACTGTCTAGCACACACACACACACACACAGAGATAATGAAGCACATCTCATTTAAAAACACAAATACAACACACTGATACTGCTGAGAGCACACACAGACCTAGATGTTGACATTTACTAACAATCTTCAGTTGTGCCTTCTAGAGTGTCATGACACCTTCATCACATCTTACACTACGATACTAGCTGAAGAAAAATCATAATAGCACTAATGCAGTTTGCGTTCTGCTGATTTACTCTGTACATTTTACATAAAATTATATAATATTAAAATTTTTTTATTATATTAGAATAGATAATGTTATTATAATTATAAAATAAATAATATAATATTTATAATAGGGTTGTGATGGTGAGGACATTTTCCCACTTTTACATTGCATTATTTTTATATGTATTTAGTAGCAGTGCTATTACTAATAATAGCAGTTATTAGTAGTAATAGTAGTTTAAATATAATTAAATAACACTACATAGAAAAGATAATCTGGGATTTAAGAAAGAATCAGAATCAGAATGAGCTTTATTGCCAGGTATGTTTACACATACGAGGAATTTGTTTTCGTGACAGAAGCTTCCACAGTGCAACAGAATGACAGTGACAAGACAAAAACACAGATAATAAAAGAATAAAAATAGAACGAGTAAACAGGGAATAACAATATACAGATTGACAATTGTATGTACAGGTATATTATGTACTGTTCCTGTGTCTGGCCGTTCTGGTGCTCAGTGCTGTGTAGCGTCGACCAGATGGCAACAGTTCAAAGAGGGAGTGTGCTGGACGTGAGGGGTCCAGAGTGATTTTGCCAGCCCTTTTGCTCACTCTGGATGAGTACAGTTCTTGGAGAGTTCTTCTTCATTAGTCCATCTCTTTACAGTCCTTAATACAGATTTAGCTGATTTCAGTTTTTGCCTGTAGGTCGGTATAAGATGAACCAAACAGTGATCAGAGAGCCTCAACACAGTTAACACAGTTACATCTGTACACCACCTCTCATTGATGTAAAAGCATGTCCCGCCGCCGCGTGATTTCCCCGTTGATTCTGCGTCGCGATCCGCTCTGAACAGCTGGAAGCCCGGCAGATGTAGCGCGATGTCCGGAATGGCGTCTTTCAGCCAGGTTTCCGTGAAACACATAGCAGCAGAATGTGAAAAATCCTTGTTTATCCGGGAGAGCAGAAGGAGTTTGTCCGTTTTGATGAGTAGAGAGCGGAGGCTCGCCAGATGGATGCTAGGCAGCGCCATTCGAAATCCGCGCTGTCTGAGCTTCACGAGCGCGCCGGCTCGCTTCCCCCATCTGCGCGTCCTGAAGCGTTTGATCAGCGCCGCTTCTCCGCCAACTACAATGTCCAGCAAAACATCAGAATAGTCGAAAACCGGTGAAATATTGGGTGGTGTGTACTGCCGAATGTCCAGCAATTCGTCTCTGGTCAAACTGATTGCAGGGATATAACTAAAGACAGGACAAACTAACAAAAACATAAAAACAACTGCGGAGCACGCCACGGAGGCAGCCATCAGCGGCGCCATCACGAGTCAAACGAAGAATGATCATGAACAGGAAACATTTCATATTCCACATTATTTCTAGATCACTAATCAATTTTGTGGCTCTTTCACAGACAGTCAGATGTTCTTCTTCCATTGCTGGAGAACATGATCATCAGGATTTGTTCATGTAGCTCCAGAGCTGCTGTCATTAAAGTGTGAGAGAGACGTTAAAGGGATAGTTCACCCAAAAATGAAAATGTGATGTTTATCTGCTTACTCCCAGGGCATCCAAGATGGAGGTGACTTTGTTTCTTCAGTAGAACACAAACGAAGATTTTTACCACAAACAGTTGCAGTCTGTCAGTCATATAATGGAAGTGAATGGGAATCACGGCTTTGAGAGTCA